ACCATATAAACATATGTGTTTCTTTGAAACGTGGAAATCACGAACCTAGAAACAGCGCTGTCCCCAGGCATAATGGCTTACTTAGCGATTTTTTACCACTGCTGAATCTGCAAATACACTACCCCTTCTCCGGGCCGGAGGATTTGCATTTGCGTAATATACAGGTACCACTGTATGTATTAGCGGCGGAGCGAAAATTGTGCCCCCAATGCCTCCCTTCCCCCCTCACCCCCCCCCACCCCCACGGAATTTATTAGATTGAGTAGTGTATATTTTAAAAATGTTAAGGCAACGAACCAGCTATTGGCTTTTGATAACATTGCAGGGTGTGTTTGTTTCAATACATTTGAGAACCACTGATCAGAGCTCCGTCATCATGTCACTTGTTGGCAGTCAGCATCCCAACTGCCTTGCGTGCTCTTTGATATGGGATACTACCACACTAGGCTCAAGGAAATTATAGCCATCAAAGGATTCAAATTCTAGACCAGCGGTTCTCAACCTGTGGGTCGCGACCCCTTTGGGGTTCGAAAGACCCTTACACTGGGGTCGCCTAAGACCGTAGGAAAAAAAACATATCTATGAAGAAGCAACGAAAATAATTTTATGTTTGGGGGTCATCACAACATTAGGAACTGTATTACAGGGTCGCGGCATTATGAAGGTTGAGAACCACTGTTTTAGACCAAGGGGGTAGGAGTAATAAGCAGAGATATGCATTGGATTATTTCTAAAGTAACAAGTAGCTCGTGCCACACACGTGAAGGAAATTCAACGCTTTGAAAGCGCCCCAGCCGCTGTGCCGGGGCGCAGTGATGTGCCGCGAGGTGCTGCCAGGTGTGCTGCGAGGTGCTGCCAGGAGTGCCGCGGCCGCAAAGCTTTTAGGAGAAAAACCCAGGGTTCATTGTGAGCTCACCGATTTAATAAAATCGTGTTGATAAAATAGAGCAGTGATTAGCTCATTAGTATTTATAATTTTCTGAACACGATAGAAACTGATGGCATATCGCTAACGATGAAATGTGTCCCAAATAAATTCAATCGCTATTTAGTTTTAAGATAACAGCAACACAAAATAACCAAATAAAAAAATATTTGCGCAAACAATGGAGTTCAGGGGAAAAATTAATTATCAACGCTTTTAGACTGAAAATCTTAAAAGCAGTTGTACAATAATAATAATAATAATAATAAAGTTTATTTGAAAAACACGCTTCATCCCCAAAAGCTCGAAGCGCGGTACAAAGTCAACCACATTATAAAGAGAAATAAAAACAATCTTAAATTTACTACATTTAAAAAACAGACGCAACAATATAAAACTACATACGAGCATACCAAGTCAAAGTCTTTCATCCCATTTCAACCATAAGCAACACAAATCAGATCGCCTATCACAGTTTTGAAAGCTAGTCACCATTGTGCAAGCAGTAGCACAAATTTAGATCGCCCGAGACAGTTGTGTGTGTGTGTGTGTGTGTGCGCGTGCGTGCGAGCGTGCGTGCGCGTGTGTGTGTGTGTGTGTGTGTGTGTGTGCGTGTCATTCAAAGCCAAAGCCTGAGACACGTATCAATAGAACGCGTGAAAATCTTCTGGATTTTTTTTTTTTAATTTGCCATCTTGAACAAAGGTCTTATAGGAGACACTGAAATTAATAAGTCTAGAAGAAGCTTATAACGTAGACGACCATTGTGAAAGTAACGGGGACATGCATTCAGGTTCAAATATCTAAGATCCGTTCTATCATTTTAGTGTTGTAATCTCTCACTACTTTTCTTTTTTATCTTGTATTTTTTTTTCTTTAAAGTTATTTTCTACTTTTTAGTGGATTGAAACTCGTCTTTTAAAAAAAAGTTCTGTTTTTTGTTGTTTTTTAAATTCTTTTTTTTTTTTTTTCTTCTAACCCAGACAATGTCATTGGCCAATTTTTTTCTTGAACAAGTTTAATTTTGATACAAAACTAGATCGGATTGACCTGGGTTTTTTTTGTTTGTTTTTTTGTGTTAGATTAAACTTTTTATTCTATCATTTTAGTGTTGTAATTTCTCACTATTTTTCTTTTTTATCTTGTTTTTTTTTTTCTTTAAAGTTATTTTCTACTTTTTAGTGGATTGAAACTCGTCTTTTAAAAAAAAGTTCTGTTTTTTGTTGTTTTTTAAATTCTTTTTTTTTTTTTTTTCTTCTAACCCAGACAATGTCATTGGCCAATTTTTTGCTTGAACAAGTTTAATTTTGATACAAAACTAGATCGGATTGACCTGGGTTTTTTTTGTTTGTTTTTTTGGGTTAGATTAAACTTTTTTTTCCCTTGGGATACCACCCACTTTGAGAACAACTGGTTTAAAGCAACAAAAATTTCTTTTCACCTGTAATAAGTTTTGTGGAAACCTGTTGTGTATTACATCACTATAACTTCAACGTAACATAACATATTTTTTTTTCCTAAGCGCCCTTCCTTAGGACAAGATGTGAAGGAAACAGTTTCAATAACGGACCCTTGATTCCTTTCAACATTTTAGTTCACGGCAATTCGTTTGAACATTTTGATATACGGCGACCTTAACGATATGGCCGAGTCATGGTATCATAGGATATTGGAGTTTTGTTTTTTGATTGTCGCCTTTGTACTTGTCATTTCAGTAGTGCACGGGAACCGTGTTAGCTCAAACCTAAATTATTGGACTCGAAGAATACACAGATATGGCTAAGACACTCTAAGAGAATTCACTGAATTGCTGTTTTATACTAGTGAAATAATTTATTACAAATGTCTTGTGTTCAAATTGTTTTTATTTATGTGCCGAAAATGTACAATGCAATCAAAAAAACATTTCCATTTGTTTGGATTAATCAAAGCATCTTATCTTATCTTATCTTAAACATTCAATTTTTGTTTAATATCTGTTGATTCTTGAGACTTCTGCTAATGCTACTACGTATACTTGTCGTTGATTATGTAATACACTTGTTGTGGATCATGTAATACACTTGTTGTGGATTATGTAATACAATTGCTGTGGATCATGTAGTACACTTGTTGTGGAATATGTAATACACTTGTCGTGGATCATGTAATACACTTGTTGTGGATTATGTTATACACGTGTTGTGGATTATGTAATACACTTGTTGCGGATTATGTAATACACGTGTTGTGGATCATGTAATACACTTGTTGTGGATTATGTAATACACTTGTTGTGGATCATGTAATACACTTGTTGTGGATTATGTAATACACGTGTTGTGGATTATGTAATACACTTGTTGTGGATTATGTAACACACTTGTTGTGTATTATGTAATACACTTTTTGGGGATCATGTAATACACTTGTTGTGGATTATGTGATATACTTGTTGTGGATTATGTAATACTCTTGATGTGGATTATGTAATACACTTGTTGTGATCATGTAATACACTTGTTGTGGATTATGTAATACACTTGTTGTGGATCATGTAATACACTTGTTGTGGATTATGTAATACACTTGTTGTGGATCATGTAATACACTTGTTGTGGATTATGTAATACACTTGATGTGGATCATGTAATACACTTGTTGTGGATTATGTAATACACTTGTTTTGGATCATGTAATACACTTGTTGTGGATCATGTAATATACTTGTTGTGGATTATGTAATACACTTGTTGCGGATTATGTAATACACTTGTTGTGGATTATGTAATACACTTGTTGTGGATTATGTAATACACTTGTTGTGGATTATGTAATACACTTGTTGTGGATTTTTTAATACACTTGTTGTGGATCATGTAATACACTTGTTGTGGATCATGTAATACACTTTTTGTGGATTATGTAATACACTTGTTGCGGATTATGTAATACACTTGTTTTGGATTATGTAATACACTTGTTATGTATTATGTAATACACTTATTGTGGATTATGTAATACACTTGTTGCGGATTATGTAAATCACTGGCACAATTACGTCCTAGTACTCCTTGCTGAGCTTACAGCCATGCATCACAAATCACACCAAGTCCTGAGATTTAGATGTGTCAAATACGGACACATTTGTTATCCGAAAATCACATACCAAAATCCGTACTATCAAAATTCACAAATAGTCCTTTTGTAAGTACTACAGTCACATAGTAAAATCATTCATAACAACAGGCACTGAGACTCCTTTTGGAAGTACTACAGTCACATAGTAAAATCATTCATAACAACAGGCACTGAGACTCCTTTCGAAGTAACCCCTTATCCCTCACTACTCCATGTACCCATCAAACACACACCCCCAACCGCCCATCAGGAATGACAATGTCATGCCCTGTTCACCCACAATCTCACTCATTCTGGTCAACACGCCTTTCTCTAGCACCCCCCCCCCACATAACACCAGTGATTCTCATACCCTTTACAATATTCGTGAACCAATGGTCTTCAATTTCTTTGAAAGAGTATCCTTGAATTAACTCCAATGTTTCAAGAACCAGCCAAATGCAACTACAAAAAAAAAGGTCTTATTTCTCCACAGACGCTGATTGCAGTCCTCTGGCAAAATCGATGCAAAGTAGCTCTTTATACCACCAACGGCTCATTAAAACATTATTAATCAAATGTAAATAGATTAGACATACAGACAGACGGGCGGTTTGACGGATGGATAGATGGATAGATGGAAAGATGGATAGATGTATGGATGAATGGATGGATGGATGGATGGATGGATGGATGGATGGATGGATGGATGGATGGATGGATGGATGGATAGATGGATGGATGGATGGATGGATTAGATAGATGATAGATGTATTTATAAATATACTTTTTGCTTCAGTTTCGTCCGTCAGATCTTTAAACACATTTTTATTATTTATTGATTCAATCCTCGACAGGCTTATGACGTCCCACCACGTCTTCTAGCACGGAGGGCGTCATGCTGAACATGACGGGGCTGCCCCCCAACCTCACGGCGAACGACGACTACTACGGCACCTTGAAGCAGCCGACCCACATGATCATCATCTACGGCCTGGCCTACGGTCTCATCTTCCTGAGCGCCATCGTCGGCAACGTGATGGTGATCGTGGTGGTGGTGACGACCCCGTGCCTGCACACGCAGACCAACCTGTTCATTGCAAACCTGGCCGTGGCGGATGTCCTGGTGGCCATCTTCTGCATTCCGATCACATTCTTACACGAGATCTATTCAGGTAGGTCCGGGGTAATCGAAGCTAGAATAATCTATGAGGCAGGCCTGCGCATCATGCGGCCCGCCATCACCCACCTTGCGGCCCGAGAAGTAACGAAATATTATTTATTCTTATTATTTTCTTCATGGCTTCCCCCTTGTCCTATTTTCTTTTGGCCCGCACAAGTCTTGTCCCTTTTTTTCTTTTGGCCCGCACAAATTTTTCATTACGTATTACGGCCCGCCTTACATTTTGAGTTGTGCTGGCCTGATCTAAGGAGTCGGTTTGATTTTTATCATATAGCTGAAACTGGAAAGAATGTGGGGAAGGGAATTTAAATATAAAGCAATTAGAGAATACGATGGTTTATTAATTAATACTACGAAATTTCTGCTTACCACATAGGGGAGTCAAGGCGCTTGCCAAGGAGGGGCGTGCAAGCAGCTTCTTTTAAAAACTTAGCAGTATATTGTTCCCCCAATTATAGGGCCGCCCCCACCCCTTTTGGTAATTTTCGCCTTGCCCTCCAGAGTAAACGAAAAGACGGAATTGTGTTTACTTTTTAGGAACTGTATGAAAGAAACTTGATTGTGCTATCAATAACTTATTATTGACGTAAGTGGCAAAGCGATTTTTTTTTTTAAATTGCTATTCTAAAAACCATAGTAGCAATTTTCCTGTTTTCCCAATGCCATGGAGCAGTGACATGGATATTGAAAGAAATAACGAATTTATAACTTTTTATTTTAGTGTCTAGTTTAATTTGTTTGGATTTGCGTTATTTTCACCTCAATGGATTAATCTATTTTTTTGGTATTTTTAATGAACGTCATTTTACGTGAAAGAAAAACAAGTAACTCTGATATAGATAGCTTACAAATTTATTGAAGTCATTTTAAAATGCTATGCAGATTGGCATTTTTCTTATAATTTCTTTACGAAATTTACTTGGTGAGGGGCATTCTTTTTTTTTTAAATGTATTCATTTACGAAGATAAACATGGCTGTAGTTTTCCTCACTCCATGCAGGGATAATTTCCTCCTGGCGTTTTCATAACGGATCATTGATTTAAATGGGTTGGAGAAGAACGGGGGCTGCTTAACTCCTGGTTCAAGGATTAAATAAACTTTTTTTAAAAAAACAGAGCACGTGATTAGGAGTCCCAGCACGCCATTGTTTACAGCAACAACAAAAAAACGATCTATTTTAAAGAAAAGAAACTAAAAGATTAAAAGGTTGAACTTAAGTTAAAGTTTTGGGGTTTTTTAGTTTAGGAATATAAATTAATGGCAAGAGAACAGTTTGTAAATGCCCTACACTCTAAATCATTCTAATCGAAATGGGTGGCCCGGTGGTCTAAACTGACTCAATACAAATAGCTGGTGGTCTGGAGTTCAATCCCAAAGAAATCCCAAGCACCCAAGGGTGGATGACCCTCGTTAGCCTTGGACGGCGACTCTGAATTCAAACCAGGAGCCAGATGGTCAACAAACTGATCGCGGGCTCTCAAGTAAAGGGGACATTTATAATAATGTGAATAGATCAGGAAGGGGACATTTATAATAATGTGAATAGATCAGGAAGGGGACATTTATAATAATGTGAATAGATCAGGAAGGGGACATTTATAATAATGTGAATAGATCAGGAAAGGGACATTTATAATAATGTGAATAGATCAGGAAAGGGACATTTATAATAATGTGAATAGATCAGGAAAGGAAACTGAAATAAAGTGTTGACCCCTCGCAACATTTAAATGGTCGAGATGACCAACCATTTCCTAACCTTGCCAGACTGAAATAGATGATGTCAGGAATATTTATTTTTTTTAAACAACACTACAATAGTGTCAAGATCACAGCGTTTTATGGAAAGTAGTTATTTGAATAGTACAAGGGCAGGAATGTTTGAATAGTGCATGAATAACTATTTACCACGGAAGAAATTTTTGAATAGTAGGCCTACATGAATCATTATTGCCAGGGGAAGAATAATGAACAGTATCTGAATCATTATTATTAGAATTGCCAACAAACCGGCAATTTACGAAAATTCCGTAAAAATGTTTCCTTAAATGGTTAGTCCCTTGGAGTCTTTAAAAAAATTGTGAATGTTCGTCAAAAGTGAGAACTTGTAACAAGAGTTCGAAGTTTGGATGTCTGCCTGATTGTTTAGACTTGAAGTATCATCATCAGAATACATTCGAATTTGATGAGAATTTCATCAAATAAACTATCACAATAAAATGTGCTCATGCCTTATGATCATATGTATAGTGATAAAGACGTCATAGACTCTATTACGTACAGTGATAAAGAAGTCATAGACTCTATGACGTACAGTGATAAAGAAGTCATAGACTCTATGACGTACAGTGTTAAAGAAGGGACTAATCATATAATATATATTCATTAAAATATGTCCTTAAAAAAATAATCTTGTCCAGACGAAAAAAGTGTTGTGCTTTAGAATATGTTTTTTTCAGTAAATGTTATGTTATTGATATTGGGGTTGGCAGCCCTGAGTGTTATGCTATTGGGTTGGGCAACCCTAAGTGTTATGCTATTGGGGTGGCAACCCTAAATGTGTTATGTTATTAAGGTTGGCAACCCTGAGTGTTATGTTATTGGGGTTTGCAACCCTGGGTGTTATGTTAATGAGGTTACAAGAACAGCAAACATTCACTTTGATATCTCGCCACCAAATGGATTAGGAAGACTAGATTTTAGGTCACAGCAAAACTTAACAAGGATGTAAAGAAATACATTATATTAAGGGTATATGCGGCCCCATTGATTGTAAAGGTGAAGCTGGCTTATGTGGTATACGCGCGTTAACACAAGACTCAGTCACCAACCACACCGCGACTCTAGCAGGGAGCAAGCTGGCTCGTCAAAATTATACAATGGTGCCGCAATGCTCGAGGGGATCAAGATTATATTGGTCGTGTCTGTTGTCTCTGCTTAGAATAATTGACAGCTTCCGATTCCTAAGAGTGCTGTTATTTGTTTTGAGCCCAATACAGATGACGTGGAGGAATGATATGGAAATGTCAACCTTGCAACACCAAAAAAAACTCATTATTTAATGAGAATGCAGATTTCTGCCACCAGCTAGTGCTCAAGGGTTGTACATTCCACACAAAACAATAGTATTAAAAAAATAAACTTCAAAGTCTGTGTCAAAAAATATGTTGATGCAATGAGTTTTATTTGAATAAAGTAAACAATGTGTTTACCTTTATAGCCAGACTTTATTTATTTAAGGGCTTAGGTCATGCTAACAGTTGTTTTCTGTCTCCCCGCTTTTCTTTATATGCTATGACTACAAACGAGCGCAGCAACTTTAACAAAACATTGGATCGGAGGGTGGACATTGGTGTTGTTTGTTTTTTAACGAAATGTTAACAACATGTGATTTCGAAATATGTCAATCTACGATACGGCAAAGTGAAAAAGCTTAAAATATCTCTCTAAATCTAAACTGAGCAGTTTATCAAATTTTAGCTCTCCAGCTCGGAGGGAGTTTTAAACACTGTCATCTGTAATTGAACGGAGATTTGCTTGTGTACAAGACGCCCGCACATAAGATAAGACATATTCTACACGCAGACTTCAGATTGATACCTTTCAGTTCTGGTTTATCTTTTGAATTGAAAATTACACGCTTTTTTGTACGTTAAATAAAACGTTGTTTGTTTTTTTTTTTAAATTACTAAAATCTTCTATAAGACTATTTTGGTATTTCTGATGATCCTTGCTCGCCACCTAACGATGGCGGAGGCAACGCTAAATTTGATAGCTTAAAAATTATGTACACCTTTCAACGTGTGCATAAAGTTCTCAGGGATATTTTTATTTAAAAATGTTCTACTCATGTTCAATCTCCATATTCTATAGGCTGGCCGTTTGGACCCGTGCTGTGTAAAATGACGCCTTATATTCAAGGGGTGGCGGTGTGTGTGTCGGTGTACAACCTGGCGGCCATTGCGATAGATAGGTAAGACACGTATACGCAAAATCCTTTTCAAGCTCTTCAGAATACACATCTGGTTAAAATATTTGGAGCCAGGGCCTCCACTCAATTTTTTTTTTAATTCCCATGATTTGGTCAAAACATTTCCTAAGATTTCCCAAGATCATGAAAATATATTAGAGGTTTTTTTTTTTAAAGGATCTTGGGATTTTTTTTAAAAATGTGAGTTTTTGTCCTGAATGGGGTTTGAATTACCAAGATCTTGGGAAATTTCCCAAGGTGTGGCAGCCCTGTTTGGAGCTAGTTCATCACACGGGTGTTCTTGTTGCTCAGAGCTGATTATTATTTGTAAGCGAATTTACGGGTAATTGTCTTGTGCATGTAAAATTAATATATTAAATTAAATAGTTGCAGGCTGCAATTCTTCACATCATAGGCTATACAAAAAAATAATGAGTCAAAGACTTGTTATAGTTATTTGTTATTTCACGTTGTGTCAGCTGCACATCAACCCCCCCCCTTTCCAACCCATTTTCTCTATCTCCTGGCAGATTGCTCGCCATTTGTTTCAACCCACAAATGCGGATCATGAGACGCGGAGCTTGCCTCATACTTGGCCTTATCTGGGTCTTCTCCTTCGCCCTCATGTTGCCCTGGCTCATCTACTTCCAGCAGTTCGACCACGGCGCGGGGCAGCAGGCGGTGCCGGTGTGCCACGAGGTCTGGCCGAGCCTGCCCGCCCAGCAGGCCTACTTCTTCGTCGCCATCTTCCTGGGAACCTACCTCCTGCCCCTGCTGGTCACGTTCTCCTGCTACCTCCTCATCGCCTGGCGCGTGTGGCACAGGCGCGCCCCGGGCGTCGCCATGGGAAACGGGGTCATCAAGCACGGCAAACTCAACGTGATCAAGATGCTGGTCACCGTGGTGGTCATGTTCACGTTCTCGTGGCTGCCTCTGCACACGATGTACCTCATTTTATACTTCTCCAACGTGGAGACGGGAGTGATCACAAGTATCTTCGAGATCGGAATGCCGCTGGCGCACTGGCTTGAACTGAGCAACTCTGGCATGAACGCTTTTATATACAGTTTCTTCTCTGGCAACTTCAGGAGGGGGTTCTTGCGTTTATGGTACTGTCTGCGTGGGAAGACTAAGCCGCCGAGAGGTGAGTTGGTTCGTTTAAGTATAATAATAATCATCGCGTTATCTCATACATTGTTCCTTAAGTCAAACAGTCAGCGCTGAAATTTGGAAACGCAAATCATGTATTAAATTGATTATAAGATTATATGCACACTAATTAAAGATTATATGTACATTGAGTAAAGATTATATATGCATTGAGATAAAGATTAGATTTACATTGAGTTAAAGATAAGGTACTTCAATGAGTTAAAGATTATATATACAATGAGTTAAAGATTATATTAAACCGAGTTAAAGATTATATGTACCCTTAGTTAAAGATTATATATACTTTGAGTTTAAGATTATGTACTACATTGAGTTAAAGATTATACATACAATGAGTTAAATTTTATACATACAATGAGTTAAAGATTATATTTATTCTGAGTTAAAGATTATATATACTTCGATTTTAAGTCTATGTACTACAATGAGTTAAAGATTCTATATACAATGAGTTAAAGACTATGTACTACAATGAGTTAAAGACTATGTACTACAATGAGTTAAAGACTATGTACTACAATGAGTTAAAGACTATGTACTATAATGAGTTAAAGACTATGTACTCCAATGAGTTAAAGACATTGTACTACAATGAGTTAAAGACTATGTACTACAATGAGTTAAAGACTATGTACTACAATGAGTTAAATACTATGTACTACAATGAGTTAAAGACTATGTACTACAATGAGTTAAAGACTATGTACTACAATGAGGTAAAGACTATATTTTAAAAAAAAGAATAACCCATAAAAATAACGAGAGAGGATATTTTCCACAGATAATTTTAAAATGTTATTTCTATTTTACAATTGAATATGGCGAACATTACACCGTCAATGCCAGAAAGGAAATACTCAAAGATAAAATAAAAGGAATTGAGAAAAAAAGAATTATCGACCAGGAGTTTGAGCAACATTCACTAGCGTAGCAGGCGAGGGCATTTCTACCGATATAACACTGACTTAAGAAAAACTTCAATTTAAACAAAATGTATTTTTAAGGTATTTTCCTGACAATATGTCACATGATATCTGTTTTAGTCGCTTAACTCGACTGAGTCAGTTAAAGCGCTTAAATAGGAATAATATTCGCAGCAAATCTGTGCATACCTCCACGTACAACATAATTCCATTTTATGAAAATTGCGCTTATGTGCCTCTGGATTTCCAGACCAATACATGATTCCATGGCTCTTTATAAAGACAAACGTTGAACATTTTAGACAATCTTTGAGTGGCTGTTGATGGATTTGGTGTCATCATTCCTCATTTGATTCCATTGATAGAATCCCCTGGATACATTTTCCCACATCCTATTTACATAAATATAATAATATAATTAAAAATTATTTTAAATATATATTATTTTAACTAAAAATATTTTTTTCTATTCTCCTCTCTCTGAACAGTATCCCGAATATGGGTCAAGTGGATTTTTTTTTTTTAAATGAAAGAAAAAAATTATTCCCTCTCCGTGAATTTCCCCAGGAACAGCTTAGAAATGCCGAAACGTTACTGGGGAAAGCTCTTGAAAAGCGACTAGAGAAGAATCACGTCCCCACCTCAGAGCCCCATCATTGTTTTTCGTTAGTTTGGGGCCTGGCCCGGATGCCAACCCGAAAAATAATGTTTCAGTCGCAGGATGGTCCGGATCAAAGCGCCCCCGTCCCCCCCCCCCCGGCCAATTCGTAATTCGGGCAACTCTTTGAACCAATTGGCAAGGAAAACCCACCAGGCAGGACACAGTAACAACAGGACTCTCCATTGATGGTTTTCAGGTCTACTCGTCAAGTACTTTGTACTTTAGCCGGGCTGCCCACTTGACTTTAAAAAAAAATAAGGTTGGACTCGCGGTGACCTCATTGGAGCCGTCTTGTGACTCTCTGAGGCCTCCTGCCGCATTTTGGTTTTGTGCACTATGCAATGAAAGTTGATAGTTTCATTTTTTTCCCCAAAACAATTTGGGCCCCTTATATATCCAAGCAACGGTTCTGGCTCATGGTGTCATCCCCAGACCACTCCGACTCCCCCCCACCCAGACTCCGAATCCTCCTGTATCAGACCACACAGGATTACCTATAACCTGTCGCAACGTTGGTTGGTAGAGATATTGAGTATGATTCAAACCAATTGAAATGTATTTTTTATACATTGTGAATTTTCAAATTTCAGCTCATAATAAAGTCAAGTATTTATTTATTTTTTTTAATTTCAACATTCTGAAGAAATGAACCAAAATTATTTCAACATCTCATTGTCAATTCAAGTCGTAAAGCGACATGAGATGGGTTGTTGTTTTTTTTCTTAGAAATAAAATGCGTTGTAAATTTGTTAAGAACTACTTTACACATAGACTCATTGCCAATGACCACACATTCTATCAAATTTTCAACCCCTCAATTCCAACCAGTCGGTTTTTACTATTCTTCGAAGGAAAGATCAAGGACATATGATGCCACTGATTTCACGAAATATTACTACGCCGACTTGTCACAACACTTACTTGTCACAACGCTGACTTGTCACAACGCCAACTTGTCACAATACTGACTTGTCACAACGCTGACTTGTCACAACGCTGACTTGTCACAATACTGACTTGTCACAACGCCGACTTGTCACAATACTGACTTGTCACAACGCCGACTTGTCACAACGCTGACTTGTCACAACGCCGACTTGTCACAACGCCGACTTGTCACAACGCCGACTTGTCACAACGCCGACTTGTCACAACGCCGACTTGTCACAACGCTGACTTGTCACAACGCTGACTTGTCACAACACCTACTTGTCACAACGCCGACTTGTCACAACGCCGAATTGTCACAACGCCGACTTGTCACAATACTGACTTGTCACCACGCCAACTTGTCACAACGCCGACTTGTCACAACGCCGACTTGTCACAACGCCGACTTGTCACAACGCCGACTTGTCACCACGCCGACTAGTCCCAACGCCGGGTTCGAGAGTAAAATTTGACTTTTTCTTCAAAGTATTTTAGATCTAACGCTTTGTTGCTCTATTTCAATTCTTCCAAGGCCTCCAGTAATTGATTTGGTTAATATTGAATGATGTTAGTTTCAGTAGAAGAATTGGTTTTAATTGAAAACCCCCCTACTTTTGATGAGCTCCGGTCGTCATTCGGTATCTAGACCTTTCGAAAGATGGATCCAGTTAGTCTCTTTGAAGTATGCACTTTTACGATTGAGGGGAAGCTATCATGTTATCTAATATACTTTAAAATAAATTATTGATTCAAGTTTCACACAAAACATTTTATTTTTAAAAGACTCTTTCTGTGGCACCGTTTTGTGACACCCTTATGATTGCACCCTTTTTGATGGCAGCCTGTTGGATGGCACCCTGCTTTGGTAACATCCTACTTTGGTGGCTCCCTTTTTTTTTTGTGGCACCCTTTTTGATGGCACTTCCTTTTTTATGGCACCCTGCTTTGGCGGCACCCTGCATTGAATACACCCTTTCGGTGGCACCCTGATGTGTTGGCGCCCTGCTTTTGTGGCACCCTTTCCGGTAACTATCTAACAGTAGAATCGGTTATTAAAAAAATCTACTTGAGCGAGCGCTGTTACGTTTGCAAAGTCCCATAACGCTGTCACGTCCTTTGGGGGGCGTCGTCACCCGGTGTGGTCTCCGCACCGCCCCCCCCCCCTTGGTGACGCCACTTGTTCGTGACTATTATTTTCATTCATAAAGACCTGACCTGAGCACCCACCACCTCCCCTACCATCTCTGCCTGCTCCCACGGTTATTAAAAAAATCTACTTGAGCGAGCGCTGTTACGTTTGCAAAGTCCCATAACGCTGTCACGTCCTTTGGGGGGCGTCGTCACCCGGTGTGGTCTCCGCACCGCCCCCCCCCCTTGGTGACGCCACTTGTTCGTGACTATTATTTTCATTCATAAAGACCTGACCTGAGCACCCACCACCTCCCCTACCATCTCTGCCTGCTACCATGACGGTGTGTGGCTTTGACTCTCCAACCTGGAATGTTGCATCATTGACGCGTAGTTTGTTGTCAAGCCCAAACCTGTCTTGTCTCACTATTGATTTGTATCATTTGTAATGGACTTTTGCACTGTTGGGTAACCCGCGTTGGCGGTAGCGCTGACTGTATCATTAGTGGGATTGCTTTGAATTTAGGACACCGAAGCTAAGTACATCTTGGGGATGTCCAAAGAATCCCGTGCTTAAAAAAAAAAAAAAAATTCCCTCAAGCTTAAGGCTATTAGTTCCAAAAAAAGGGAATTAGACTTTCCCACCAGCACTCTATTTTTAATGGGTATGTCTGTTAGTGGAGACTTCGTTTAAATGGAGAAATCCGTCTAGTAGGCATCGGTTTTATGTTGGTTTCTATTTCTTTTTTTATACTGCATATTAAATAAATATTGTCTATAAAGGGTTTTGATTTTATTGAAAGTATACCATAAGTAATTGAGTAATGTGGCGTGAGTTACGAAACGGTTAACTTGGAATAACAAATACAGAACGTCGAAAATGTTTTCAAAAACAATAATAGTGCTCTTTTCAATTAATCTAGTTATGGCTCGCAAGGGATTTAACTCCCCCCCCCTCCCTAAGTCATTGAGTCAAGCAATGGTTTTGCAATCATACGCCACAGAAATGTTGTCGCAGTCATAGTCCCATATTGCTAGTGTCACAGCCATAATGCCACAGCCATGCTCCAAGCCATGGTGCTCTAGTTAATCTAATGACATAAAACCTTCACTTTATTCACATGAACGTAGTTTGTAAAAGAATGTCGTGTTTGTGAGATGAACAGTAAAATCAACCATTAGGCTTTTCTGAGCTCTAGAAAATTGTTCATGCGAACTCCTTTGGGAGTAATTAAGGACGTTTATTTAAATAAGATGAAATTGTGAGAAAGAAAAAAAAAACGTGTCATTTTTTCCCCCTCAAATAGAAGCCAAATGTCTTTTATTTA